ACTTTGTTGATTTTAATTGTTCGATTTCATGGAAATGAATTATATTATTTATTTAATATAAAAAAATTTTAAATAATTTTTTTATATAAATTTTAGAATTTAGAATTTAATTATGATAAAATTTTTATTTATAGTTTTATTTATATTTGTAATAATTTTAAAGAATATAAAAGTTATATTTTATTATAATATTTGTTTTATTTTGAGATTTTTTTTTTTATTTAATTTTATATATAAGGATATAATTTGAATTAGAGTGGGAATGATATTTGGACATGATTTTTTTTCATTTTATATGTTAATTTTGAGATTGTGAATTTTAGGTTTAATATTTATAGTTATTCAATTAAATAATAATAAAATATTTAAAGATAATTATATAAAAAAGATAGTAATATTTATAATTATATTAATGATTTTATTAATATTTTTTTCTTCAATAAATTTAATTGTATTTTATTTAATATTCGAGTTAAGATTGATTCCTACATTTATAATAATTATTTATTGAGGAATAAATTTTGAACGATTAAAAGCTTCATATTATTTATTAATATATACAATATTTATTTCATTGCCTTTATTAATTTATATTATAAAATTATTAAAATTTAATGGTTCATTAGATTTAAATTTATTAATTATATTAATAAATTATGAAATTAGATTATGAGATTATATAATTTTATTTATAGCATTTTTTATTAAATTACCAATTTATTTATTTCATATTTGACTCCCTAAAGCTCATGTTGAGGCACCTGTTTATGGGTCAATAATTTTAGCTTCAGTATTATTAAAGTTGGGAAGATACGGGATTTTACGATTTTTAGATATATTTTATATACAAAGAGTTAAATTTAATTATATAATTATTAGTGTGGGGATTATAGGAAGGTTATTAGTAAGATTAATTTGTTTAATTCAAATTGATATAAAAAGATTAGTTGCTTATTCGTCAGTAGTTCATATAAATATATTAATATGTTCAATATTAACATTAATAAAAATAGGATTTATTAGGTCATATATTTTGATAATTTCTCATGGATTATGTTCATCTGGATTATTTTTTATAGTTAATTTATATTATGAACGTTCTTATAGTCGATTAATATTTTTTAATAAAGGGATATTAAATATTATGCCTTCATTAAGGATTTGGTGGTTTTTTTTATGTTCTGCTAATTTTTCTTTTCCATTTTCTTTGAATTTTATTAGGGAAATTTATGTAATTAGAGTCTTAATTGGATGGGATTTATATATAATAATTTATTTAATAATCATTTGTTTTTTTAGAAGAGCTTATTCATTATATTTATATTCTTATATTCAGCATGGCTATATTTATACGGAAGAAATATATATAAATATTTATTTAAAAGATTATATGATTTTATTAATTCATATTAAACCACTAATTTTATTAATTTTAAATTTATCTTTATTATATTAATTTTTAAAGGGTTTAAGTAGTTTATTTATAAAATATTAATTTGTGGGATTAAAGAAATTTGTTTTATCTTAAATAATTAATAATTTATTAATTTATTCATTTGTTATATTTATATTATTTATCTTATTTATTTTATTAAGATTTTATTATTATTATATGGATATAGGTGTTATAATAGAATGATTACTATTTAATTTTAATTCAATTAATATAGAATTTTATTTTTTATTTGATTGATTATCATGTATATTTATTAGAGTTGTTATATTAATTTCTTCAATAATTATATTGTATAGAATAATTTATATAAGTATAGAAATTTATATTGATCGGTTTATTAAATTAGTAATTTTGTTTATTTTATCAATAATTATAATAATTATTAGACCAAATTTAATTAGAATTTTATTTGGATGAGATGGGCTTGGTCTTATTTCATATTGTTTAGTAATTTTTTATCAGAATTATACATCTTATAATTCTGGGTTAGTCACTGTGTTATGTAATCGAGTTGGAGATATTGGTTTATTAATATCTATTGGATTAATGTATATTTATGGAAGGTGAAATATTTATTTTATACAAAGGTCTAATAAGTTAGTTCTAATTATACTTTTTTTAGCTTCAATTACTAAAAGAGCTCAAATTCCTTTTTCTGTGTGATTACCCATAGCTATAGCAGCTCCTACTCCGGTATCTGCTTTAGTTCATTCTTCTACATTAGTTACAGCAGGTATTTACTTAATAATTCGATTTAATAAGATTTTAATTAATAGGATAATAGATAAAATTTTATTATGTGTATCAGTTTTTACTATATTTATATCAGGATTAATGGCAAATTTAGAGAATGATTTAAAAAAAATTATTGCATTATCTACGTTAAGTCAATTAGGTCTTATAATAATAATTTTAAGATTAGGACTAAGTTATTTATCTTTTTATCATTTATTAACTCATGCAATTTTTAAATCATTGTTATTTATATGTGCTGGAATTATAATTCATTTAATAAATAATAATCAGGATATTCGATTTTGTGGAAGTATAAATGAATATATTCCATTTACTATAGTAAGTTTTTATATTTCAAGAATGGCCTTAATAGGGTTTCCATTTTTAGCTGGGTTTTACTCTAAAGATTTAATTATAGAGTCAATTTATTTGTTAAAAATTAATATATTTTTATTGTTAATAATGATTTTATCTATTTCTTTAACTGTATCATATTCTTTACGATTATTTTATTACATTTATTTTGGTGAAAATAATAGAGGGTGTAGGTATTTTTATTATAAGGAAAGAAAATTAATAAATTTTTCTATAACTATTTTAATAAGATTAAGCCTATTTAGAGGTTCTTTATTAACTTGATTATTTTTTTTTGATAATTATTTTATATTATTAAAAGTTAATATTAAATTATTAACAATTTTTATGTTAATATTAGGGATTATTTTAGGAAATTTTTTATATTTAAAAAATTTTATAAATTTATATTATTATAGATTTTTTTTTAGATCTATGTGATTTTTAAATTATATATTTATATGAATTTATAAACCATTTTTTAATTTAGGAAGTAAAATATATGAAATAGATAAAAGTTGAGTTGAATTTTCAAGAAAGAATTTAGTTTTAAGGGTGGTTAAGGAGGTTATGTTAATAAAAATAAATTATTATAAAATTTTTATGTTTATTTTTATTGTATTTTATGTATTAATAATTATTTTTTTAATTATTTAGAAGTTTTATTTAATATATATTAAATTTATAATTATAAGTAGTAAATAAAAATAATGATTAAATTAAGTTAAATTAAAAATTAATTTAAATTAATTTATTTATATAGTTTATTATAAAGCATAATATTGAAGATATTAGGAAGATAAATTTAATTTATTTATAAATAATAATTAAATTTATATTATTTTTATAATGAAAATATAATGTTTTATTTAAACTATATAAATTAATTATTTAAAAAATTAAAATAAATAAATAAAAATAATAAATATATAATTTAATACAATTAATGTAAAATAATTTATGAAGTAAAATGAATTTTTTCATTAATTATTGAATTAGAAGTTCAATTATTATTACTTCATTATAATTTAAAATTAAAGTTAAAAAATTAATTAACTGGAATATTTTATAATAAATTCATTTTAATTATTAACAATAATTAACCTCTTTTTGGTTTCAGTTAAATAAATATTAATTATGTAAAATAAAAAATATTCTTTTATATTATTTTAAAATAATAAATTTTTAAGTCGAAATTAAATGTAAATTTACTTTAAAAGAATATATAAAATAATTTATAAGATTTATATATTAAATATTAGTAAATATAATTTTAGTTCGGAACGACTTAGTTACGTACCTGTGAGTGA